CGCTTTGGGCACCGGCCAGGCTGGGATCGTTGCACCCGACGCGCGGCTGCCAGCGAGCGAGCCCGCCCGCCGTGCCCACCCCCGCCACCTGCTCCTCATTCTCTTGACTGCGCGTCGGTGCCAGAGAAGAGGCCAGCGGGGAGGACCCACGGGGAGGGGAAAGGTCTTCCACCGAGGGGCTGGGAACCCGTGTCTCCTTCGGGTCTTTCTTCCATGATGGGTTGCAAACAGATCTGCCCCCTCACACACACACACACTTTTCTTCCCTGTGAGTGCAAAGTGGTGGGCCTGACATCCTCCTCCTTTCATCCATACCACGGTAACCCTGCCAGGTAGGTCAGGCTCAAAGGGTACAGCTGGCCTAAGATCAAGCAGTGAGTTCCATGGCCAAGAGGAGACTTGAACCCAGGTCTCTTATGTGCCATTCCAGCATTCTCACCATGGTGCCACACCGGATGTGGCGGGGAAGGGGAGAGGAGGGTAGCCCCCCCCCCCACACACACACCCATTGTAACATATTGCACCACCAAATGCAGCCCCTTTAAAATAACAATAATAGTAATACCCCATGTCTATAATATGCGTGATTTTTCTGGCGAGTTTTGCAAATACCCTGGATCACCAGAAAGATGAACGAGTGGGTCCTCAAGCAAATCAAGCCTAAACTTTCTCTGGAAATAAAAATGACTCAGTCGAGGATGCCCTACTTCAGCCGCATCATGAGAAGACCAGACCCCCTGGAAAAATCAATAACGCTGGGGAAAGTTAAAGGCAGCAGGAGAAGAGGAAGAGCTGACATGAAATGGATTAACTCCCTAAAGGAGTAGCCTTGAGTTTGCAAGACCTGAGCAGAGCTATACAGGATAAGGCCCTTTCAGGGGCTACTGACCCACTGGTTGGCTATGGGCCAGAAGTGACTTAACAGTACATAACTACATGTCGTGCGGTACTGTCTGATGACTTGGAAAAATTGCTTTATCGGACTACAACACCCAGGATCCCCCAGTTTGCAAGCCCCAGTAGGTTTGCTCTAGCCGGGCAATTCTGGTAAACTCTAATCCTCTGGGAGAGCCCTTGGGGCCTGGTGGTTTTGGGCATTTGACCGAGACCCTGTGTTCAAATCCCCACTCAGCCGCGCCCTGGGTTGCTCGGAGGAGGAAACAGGGAGGGGAGACCCCCCTGTATCTCCTGGAGAGGCTTGAAAGTAATGCAAAATATAAACGCAACCAAACAAAAGTAATAAGTAATTTTAAAAGTAACATTTCCCAGGCTCTGAGCCCATCAGGTGGAGTCCTAGGTGCCCCCACGGTTTCCCTGGGGTTTCACAAAAACCTGTTTCCCATCACCTGGCCCTTCTTGAACCACAGATGATGGGGACGCAAGCCGGTCGCTCTCTTTCCCTCCTTCCTCTGCCTGCCTGCCTCTCTCTCTCTCTGCAAGGGAGATGACTTCATCCTCCTCTCGTCTTCTCCCTGGTCGTCTCTCCAGCACCAGGATCAGGGAAAGGGCAGCTTTCCAGCTGCACTAATTCACAGCAGCTGAGGATCAGAAAGTACAGGGACATAAAACTGATTTACAGTCACATCTGATCATAGACAAGGAAGGATGTACAGTCTGGAGGTTTGTACCCGAAGAGTCTGCTTTATTTTTGCTGCTTTCATGGCTAAAAAAAAAAAAACACCAACCTCCTCAACCTTCTTTCTTGGACCAAAGTAAAGAGGACCAGCCAAGATTTGCCTGGATGGGGTCTCTGGCAGAGGGCCGGATTCGTTGGCTCCAAGAAGGGGAAGACAGAATGACAGCGCTTTGGACAAGGACAATTCCCCACCGGTCCGTTGGGTAATCTCCGCTAGAGCAGGCACCTTAATTCCATGGGGCTTCTGTAACTGATCCAACCCCTTTTGTTCAAGGGGCCTACTCTAGCTGAGATGTACCCCTGGGATTTAGCTCCCCCAAAGAATCACTTCCAACCTCCAAGCAAAACAACATTTATGGATGTTGGTTCTTCCAAAAGGACGAGTCGGATGGAGGCAACCTTAAGAGTTTGTCCCCACATTCCCCCCCCCAAGCCTCGATCTCTCCACCCCTTCTCATCAGAAATGAAAGCCTCCCCCCTCCCCCGCTTCTCAAAAACATGACCGTGGATAATGCAAGGGCCTCTCCCGCAACAGCTGCCAACATCTGGAGGGGCCAGCCTGTGTGTTTAGGGCCTCCCCACCTGTTCTGAAAATGGAGCCGGAGGAATATTTAACTCCCCGACTTCCTCCCGGAGGCTCTGATTTTGGCAGTAGCTGCCTTGATCATCTGCTTCATTTAACGGTTCGGGGCACAATCCACTGGGGAGGCCTTGGGCAGGGCCCCCGATGGGTTGAACAGGGTCAGGTCTTCACAAGGGAACTTTCCAGAAGTTTGAATTGACCCAGGAAGTCCATGAGTTAACTCCCCAAGGCACTGTTTTCCCAGTTATTCATTCCAGAATATAAACCAGTAGCTGCCAGCCACCGGGAAGGAAAACTCAGTTTTCCACGGCCATTATTTTCCCAAAGATTCTTCTGTTTCTGTAGGATGAGAACACGGCTCATTTGCTAACTTATGCCCTAGGTGTATCTCCTGCCCTTTCCTACGAGGGAATTCCGGTAGCATGGATGCTCTTCCTTGCAACCCACTTACTTCACAACAACAGTTCAAGGTAGGTTTTGACTGACGAACTGATCCAGTAAGTTTCATAGTTGAAGAAAGATTTGAACACGGATCTCGCAAGTCCCACTTACCCCTCTACCCCATCATCCCATCCAGGGAGCTACAAAGAAGGCAAACCAACGGGGTAAGGTGGCTGCACAGGAACCAAACCTCATTAGAGGCAACAGGATGATAGAGTAGGGGGCTCCCAGCCTTTGGGTCACCCAGTGTTCCTTTCGGACTGGAGTTCCCAGAAGCCCCACTGAACATAGCCAACATGGATTCTGGGAGTTGTAGTCCAAAAAGCCTCCCACAAGGGGGACCACCATGGTGAAGGATCTGTTAGATACATTTTCCCCTCTCTGGGCCCTACTGATCCGAACTCTCTTGCAAAGATCACAGTGGGTGGGAAGATGGGATTTGATAGGTGGAAAACAGAAGTCCACAAGGAACAACAGACGGGCAACATTTGGTTTTCGGATGAGAACGCCCAGAAGAGCTACCCAGTGGATGCCTCTTCTTGACCATGTTGGTGCCCTTCAGTCTGGAAGAACCCTGGATCTTTTCTGGACCACCGTTCCCAAAATGTCTAGGGCAGGATGGCTGCCACATTAAACATTATAAGGATTAGGATCTGGTTAAACTGAAAACAACTTGATGTCACATAGAACAACAACCAAGGTCCAAAGGCTCCCCACGGATGTTTCTCCATCTGCAGAGCATGAACATGCCAAAGAAAACACCAGTAATGTTTGACGGCAGACTTGTATAGGCTGTTAAGTGTAAACTTTGGATTGGCCTTGGATTCTAATCCCAACTTAATCCAGGCTGATCTTCAAGCCCTTTTCAGTCTTAGAAGATTCAAGGCCACCGTCTTTAAGCAAAAGATCCAATCCCATTATGGATCATTTTAACCATCTGGCTTTCTAGAAGAATATC